TTGCTTACTTCTTGACTCTGCTTGTACTGTGATCTCTATATATATACCTGCTTGTTTACTCTTGCTAGGTTGTGATCACTGTATCTCTTGTTATACTATCAACCTGCATGTGAACTGGTCTTGTGACCACTTGCTTGTGCTCAGAATTTGTGTGGTTTCCTTGAGATCCACCCTGAGCTTGCTTTGCTTTGCTTTGACTGGTCTTGTGACCATCTGGTTGTCTCCCACTTAGCCTATGGGGGTGTGTCAAACATTATATGTTTATATTGTGTAGGCTATAGTGGGTTTAGCCTTAGGGGTACAGCTTTGTTAGGGTTTCCTACTTGTATCCCCCTCCTACCTAGTTTCACCAATTCTCGTTCTATTCTAGATTCTAACAGAGCCTGAGACAGAGAAGCAGAGGGCAGAGTTGGAAGCTCAACTGAAAAACATGGAAGCGGAAGAGAAGCGTTTGGCGGAAAAAGAAGCTAAGGAGAGGGCGCGGGCAGAGGAGCAGAAGAGGATTCTGGAGTCGGAGAGGGCTAGGATAGCTGCTGCGCGACTCAGTCTGATTCAGGGATAGATTCCGGAAGTGCAGGGTGGTGACAAATCGGTTGTGGGAACCTCGGGTGGTGACAAGCTTCGTCAAAAGTCTGAACACTCAGATGGGGCTGTAGTGTCGAAAAGGCATCGAGATGTGCTGGGGGAGCAGAGCAGTTCGCAAACGGGAGCAGATGAAGCGGCCGCAAGCGATGGTAATGGGACCGAGGGAGGGGGAAAGAAGCGGAAGGTTCATGTTGAACCAGACAATCTTGGGAAGGTGTGGGGAGTAGACGATCGATTCAAGGCTGGAGGGTTTTTCAGGAGGAAGAAGGGAACAGTGGCTGGAAAGTTTTGCTCTGAACAGACCGTGGGTGGGAAGAAGAGAAATTTGGGAAATTTTGACAGCGAGCGCAGCAGGAACTTCAGCATTGCCATCTGCTGGATGGCATTCTACCCAGATACGGACTTACTGGCGTACAACATCGCTGCGACGGACGTTCTTGTGAAAGTTTAAAAGGAAGAAGAGGGATGCACTAGCAAGAATGGGGATACAAATAGCAAAACCCTAGAAGAGTTGTACTCGCTATAGAGCACCCCACTACAGGCTAGAGCATAATATTCTGACACACCCCCATAGCCAAAGTGGGGTGTAATCAGCAGAGCAAGCAAAAGAAAACAAGCTCAGGGTGGATCACAATGTCACCACACATTCTGAGCACAAGTACAAGAGGTAGCAGTTTTATAGTTAACAAATGTAAGCAAAGCTAGAGGCTATCACAGAGGGCAAGTGAGGAGGAGGAGAGACTGTGGGGGAGAGAAGATGGGAGGCGACTGCTGACGCTGCAGACACACAGACGAGCTGCTGGCTCAGTGGCTACCGGAACAGCGCTCCGGACTACTGGGGTAACTGGCCCCGCGGCTAAAAGTAGCGGCAGACGAGCAACGGACCCACGGGCGACTGGCGACTACCGGAGATTGTAGCCTCCGGACTGCTGCTGCTGCTGACGACACGACGACCGCCTCCATTCAACCTCCCCCAACTGTCCCACCCCCATTTCACACACCCCCTGTTCAAACCCTAGCTCTACTCACACTCCACCCCCCTAGCACCACTCCGTACACTCCCACACATCCACCCCCCTCAGCGACAGCTGCAGCAGTGGGAGACGAAGGAGGAGGAGGAGCAGGCGACGCCACACACCCGCCACCCCCCAACCGCCACCCCCCAACCGCCACCCCCCAAACCCTAAAAACAGGGTAGGGAGGTAGGGGGGGGGGGGGGGCAACGCGCGGCCCCCTGTAGACTCCAGCGGCCCCCCCCAGGGCGCCGCGACGGGCGACGGGAGTTGGGCCGGGGCAGGTCGGGGCCGGGGCAGGTCCGGGACGGGGCGGGGCAGCAGGGGCCGCGCAAGGCTCCCCTGGGCAGCGCGACGGGGCAGCAGGGCCGCGCGACGGGGCAGCAGGGGCCGCGCGCGGCTCCCCTAGGCGGCGCGACGGGGCTGCAGGGGCCGCGCGACGGGGCGACGTGCGGGTCCCCGTCGCCCGTCGCAGCGCCTCCCGGGGGCGACGCGGCGAGTGACGGGGCAGAAACCCGTCGCGCGCCTCGGGGCGCACGGCGGGCAGAAAACCGCCGCGCGCCTCGGGGCGCACGGCGGGAAGAAAAAACTGCCGCACGCCACAGGGCGTGCGGCACAGAGAGTAGCAGTAGCAGTTGCAGCGGAAGCAACAAGGTGGTGAGCCCACCCACAGGATCGATCCAAGGGGATCGACCTGCTCTGATAGCATGTTTAAAGTTTAGAAGGAAGAAGAGGGATGCACTAGCAAGAATGGGGATACAAATAGCAAAACCCTAGAAGAGTTGTACTCGCTATAGAGCACCCCACTACAGGCTAGAGCATAATATTCTGACAGTTCTAGCGTGGTCGGAGCAGCTGAACTTCGCAAAGCGTATGCCGACAGGCGTATGGAGCGTGCTCAACGAGCTGCATCTTTGCAGGCTAGAAAAGTGAGTTTCGTTTTTTGCCCTGCATTGCCGAGTTGTACTTTGTGATAACGATACATTGCTTGTTTGTCTTCCCCCCTCACCAGCTTCGGTGCCGTAATGAAGAAAACTAACGAGCGCCTGGCAAAGGGAGCAGATTGGCAGACCGGACTATGCGAAGGAATAGGACTGGCAATGCTGATTGGCTGCACAGGTGTGGAGCCGGCGCCTGACGATGTCCCGCCTGCTGTGTATGCTGCTGGAGTAGCATCTGCACTCTACACGCTATGGGGAGCGTCGATAGGTCAACCTCTAGAAGATTTGAAAACAGGCGCCATTTCTGTCGCGCGCGCCACCGTCAACGACGAGGAGCTGTCAGAGTGTGCGGCAGAAGCTGCACGCTGCGGTGTGGAGGCATTGCAACAGGTCGCAGACAAACATCTAGTAAGGAAGGAATGGCCCTCCGTTTTGGAGCCCAAAATTGTCGAGATCCAGAATCCAGTCGAGAACGTGGTTGAAGTGACCAATGTCGCCAAGGTGGTAGCCAGGGTGATGGTCTACTGGTGTGAATGTAGCTTCGCTGCGGGGGGGCTGGCTCGCCACCAAGGGGCATCCCTTTCCATTGTGCCGACGCGACGTGGGCGACGTGGGCAGAAGGGGGAGAAGAGGGTTAAGGGGGAGAAGGAGGATGAGTGATTGTCGGGTGATCTGTTTAGTTAGATTGTACAAACTTTAGTTCTTAATCAATGTACAAGTTCTACAAAAGGTGTTGCATTTATCGAACGCTCCTTTGTGGCGTTTAGCGGTGAACCAATTAGCACAACCTATCCTGTCAGCTAAGTCTACGTGAACGGGGCATATAAAATGATTCTGAAATGGCTCTATACGAAAGTGCTCACCTAAAGATAAGTTGCCGTCGATGAAGTATACCTTTCATATGCCGAAATCTTCGACAACGGTTGTGTGTCAACCGACTTCCACCAAATCGTTGACGGGTGATGTGTAGTTAGAGAGTGCAATTGTTGATCTGCAGGATAATGAGAATTAAGTGTGATCCGTACGTCTACCGTTGCTAAGTGCAGTACCCCGTTAATCCAATTTGACGATCATCGCATCTAAGCTCTGTCCTGTGCATGTGGTATACTGAGCGATAACTAAACGTTTTCAGTATGAAAGTGTCAACCCGTAGATTTGGGCTGTTGAACACTTCACCTCTGAAAATGTAGAAATGGTCGCGGCCCTCCGAATTCAATGAAGCTCCACAAAACCCACACCTGCAGAGTTAAAAATGCTCTCCAACGAGGCACGCGATGGTGAGGACTCTCTCAAATACTAAACAATCCCAAACTACCGTCCCATAAAGAAAACTCTTATTTGTTTGCACATTGAAATCCATTGGTGGACGAAACCGCGTAGAGTCGCCATGAGTCCGATGCAAATTCGAAAAGATTAATCCGCACTTGTCAGGTCGGTTTCTCGACCAAGCTTACCCCGCATAGACAAACTTTACCATGCAATCTCGTAGAAAACGTATTGTTCCATCTTTTAACCGACACGCACATAATCTACATCGACAATGGTGAGGAGAGCACCCCTCCTTACACCAGGTTGGTCTGCACGGTTTCAGATCAGACAAAACCGAGGCATATAAAAATCCTACGAGTTTTCGCGTAGATTTTAAGAACGTTTCTCTACGCATGTGGGAAACACAACCCCCCTGCACATAATTACCAAACCCATCTCCAAAATCCCCTGTCTCTACACTCCCAGTCACGCGCCTGGCCTATACATCTACCGTTGCCTGTCATGCTATACACTGTTGGAACACCTAGACGTAATTGCATCTGAGATCTGTCCACTAGTATGTTGTCTACTAAACGTGTTCTACAGGAAAGTGTCACCACGTCGATCTGTGCTGTTCAACAACTAACATCTCAATGTGTAGAAATGGTGGCGCCGTCCGAACTCCCACGGTAGCTCCAGACTATCTACACTTGCAGTTTTGAACAACGCTCTCTACTGAGGCACGCGATGGTCATCTGTTCTCCCGCCCTCACTAAACTAATCAACCATAATCTACCGTCTCATAACAAAGAACCTATTTGTCCGAAAACTAGAACCCGCTTGGTAATAGAAACCGCGTAGAGTTGTTGTGATTCCGACGCCACCTCGGCCGGAAATCTCCGCATTTCTCAGGTCGGTTTCTCGACCGATCAGAAGGGAAATGTCCATCTCTACCATGCATCAACCTAAAACACCAGGTTTTACAGCAAACAACCAACACGCACACCATCTACCTCGACAATGTTGAAGAGAGCACCCTAAACCCTTCAGGTTGGCCTGGACGGTTTCACGTCAGGATATACCCTGGCATATAAAGGTCCTACGAGTCTGCGCGTAGAGTTTAAAAATGTTTCTCTACGCATGTGGCAAACGCAAACCCCATGCACAAAAATACCGCACCACCTAAAAAAAACCGCAAAATCTACGCCCCAAGTCACGCGCCAGGCCTTTTCTTCAAAGGCTTTTGAGACTCTTCGTCCTTGATCGTCATCCACTGGGCTTTGCCGAAGAGTTCTTCCCCCCACGTGTCGTCGCGCAGACCATTCAGCACGAGAAGGTACGAAACCCTCTCTTGCGCATCGTCCGTGAGGCTTTTCCCCCCAACCGTCGATGTGCGCTGCCTCTTCGTGCCCCTCTTCTCCTTAACGATTAGCCCATCTGCGAAAACCGAGGGAGATGTCTGGAACAGCACCTCATCGAGCACGTTCACGGCATTGGTCGTCGCCTCCACAGAGTCGTCCACCCTGAACTTTTCCACCGCTAACATAGCCTTGTGGATGCGACGCAGCTGCCTTTCACAAGTGCCATCCTTGGCATCCAGGTGCACGGTGGGTTTGAACTTGCCTTTCTCTTCCTTGCTTTCCTCTCCCCTCTTGAAATGTGCCCATCTAACGATGAAGCCTGGATCCTCTGCAACAGCACGCAGTGTTCGGCCTTCCACAAGGAAGCTAGCCTTGTTCCACAACGACCATGCGTCTGCCACTGTGGTGCTGTCGCGCCACGGCCTCACTACACTGTCGAAGTAGACAATCTCAGGTGTAGGTGCAGCTGGCTCTGGGGTCGAAGGGCCAGCTCCACCTTTCTCCATCTTCGAGGAGCCCGCAGCTCTTGCGGCAGAGTTGTCGGCGCCAACGTTGCCCGCCGAGGAAACCGTGAGAGCGGCCAACTCGGCCTTGAGCTGCGCCAGCTGCTCCAGGAGACTCTTTTTGTCGCTCTTCAACGCACGATTTTCGGCCTGAAGCTCGGCGGTGAGGACGTCCTTCAGCCCATTCTGCTTCCGCAAGCAATGGTTCTCTGCGAGGAGCTTCACTTTCTCGTGCTCTCCCTCGATACGGTAAATAGCGTTCTGCGAAACGGAAACACGTTAGCCGGTGAGAATTCGACCAGTAACAAGAACAATCAGTGGATAAAAAGACACCTACCGCCTCCATCGACTGTCCCGCGTTCTCCCTCCCGTCCTGACCGTTTTTGTCCATGGTTGCAACAATCTTGGCCCATTTTTGAAACAAGGGCTCCTGGCAGAGACGGCTTATCTGCACATATGGGTGCCGCGTGCAGTCGCATCGTGGCTCATTTGAGTCGAACTCGTGCTCGCGACAGTGGATCCACATCATTGCAAGGTCTTGCGCGACCACGTCCCGACCGCAGTTGATGAGGCACTCCAAAAACCTCCGCCCAGAGTGATGCTGCTTGTAGGGGGTCCTTGGACGGTTGTACTTATCGACCTGGTGGTGAGGGACGGTTGCAAAGTCGAACAGATGCATAGATTGAATACCTCATCTGCTCCCAACTGGTGAATTCAAGTCCACGATTTTACCTTTTTCAACTGCTTCTCGGCCCAGGGGAAGATGTGCTTTCTGAAAAGCTTCTTCAGCTTTTTCCACTCCTTTTTGACTGGGAGAACAGCGTGTGCTCTGCCGATGTAGTAATCCCCCGGAGTTCCGGTGAATCCAGCCATCATAAGCATCGGATGAAAAGGAATTCCAATAATGTACGCCTTCCGCATCTCTCCCTGCTCCCACCCACCCAGAGCGCCAATGTCTGCATCGGCGCAACGGTCGTCGCTCAGCCCCTGCGCCCCCGATCGTCGGAAAATGTGGGTCACCTTGCTGAACATCCACTTTGCCTGTGTCATGACCCAGCGGATCCAGTTGTTGTGAGTCTCGTACTTCATCTCGTCTTGCGGCTGCGGACCAGGGTCATTCGGCTTCCTGATGCCAAAGAACAGGTGCTTCTTGGTCCACTTACGCGGCTTCCGAAAGTTGAGACGAGGTGCAACTCCAGTGCTGTATCTAATCGGGACGAGATCGTAGAGCCAATGAATCCACAAGAAAACCCCGCCAACGACGCAGAGCTGCCAGTCGATGTGCCTCGCCAGATACTGATGTGTCAGGTTATTGGAAAGGTTGGTCTTTGTTTTCCTCGAGGCGATGACGAGAACAGGAAGGTCCATCTTCCCTTTTACGCGGGTGCTGCTCCGGCACATGCGGATGAACATGTTGGCGAATCGGATTTTCCGAATGGAGACCCCCCTTCCCAGAACCTGGTGCGCCAGCTGAATCATGACCTTCACGGCGAGAACCCTCCACAGCGCCTGCGATGGAAAACCCTTGCTCCACGCGTAGATCTTAAAAGTCTCTTCTGGAAGAATGTTGTGATGCAGCTCCTTGTACTGATCCACGTTGTAGCAATCGTCGAGAGACCCACGGTGCTGATCCGCGCCGGTTCTGCACAGACAGTAGGCATGTGTTATACACTAAGCAATGATACGAAGCGACGATGATCGTCCACGACGCGGAGGTGCAAAGTGCAGAGTGAGTGGAAGGTGATTCACAACTGCCACTACAAATTGCTCACCGAATCTGCTCCTCGTTGAGGTTGACCAGCTTCACTCTCATAAAAGCTCTGCCCTGCGCGACTTTGTCTTGCATCTGGGAAAGGGGGTAGTCGTACAGCGCAGACTCGCATTTGCCGAGGCAGCCGATAGCGTTCATTCTCGCCTTAATCATCTTTGGTGTGCTGGGAATGGGCTGCCTCCCTGCAACGACAGGGGCATCTCCCTTGAGGGCAATCTCTTGTGCAGGTGTTTCATTGAACAAGTACTCTAGGTAGCGGATAATCCTCCACCCGGTAACACGGGGTCCGTGCAGATGCTGCTCGTAGTCGTCCACCGTGTCCCACGAGAGTTTCAAGTCGTCGCCCATATACCTGCCTACTTCGTCTGGGTTATCGGGGTGAAATTTCTCGGACTCTGGAATCACGTCTGCCAGCAGAGTCATCATCATTACAATAACCCAACGCTTGTAATGGCGCCAGTTGCAGGCGTACTGTGCTCTGGTGTGTGCGGCTTTTCCGTCGATATGCACGGCAGCGAGCATTTTCCTGTGAGCTTTCTCGGCGTCGCTCTGCGGTGGATCGCTCCCAAGGAAACCGGTGTCTTCGTTAAATAGGGGACGCCGAGTGTGGCTTGAATTCTGATCGTCTTGGCCGTGCCAAGGTGGTTGTCTCTGCGCAGATCGTCGGCCCCGCCAGCGTCGTCGACGTCGAGCAGACCGTTGGCCTTGAGAGGGTTGCTGGTCCCCTGCAGATGATCGTTGGCCTCGAGACGGTCGAGTGGTGTTTGACTGCTCTGCACCTACACCCTCGGAAGCTCCGTTGTGGCGTGAACTCTCACCCCCCTGACCCTCCTCATCGCTTTCCCCGTCCTCCATGTCTTCGTCGCTGGCGTCGCTAAAATCGGTGTCCGTCTCTTCATCGTCCTCGACATCTGAACTGTCACCGTCATCGTCTCCCTCGGTTGCGTCCATGAACTCGGTCTCCTCCTCTTCACCATCTCCTTCGTCTACCTGCCGTTCTCCTTCGTTCTCTATCGGGTCGCCATATTCCGACTCCGTCTCCTCATCGTCCGCTTCATCTGCACCTGCTTCCGGTACTCCCTCTTCTCCACCGTCCCCGTGCACTGCCACCGATTCACGGCCTTCCTCGTCTTCAGCAGCCGCATTACCCTCTTCTACGACTGACGAGGGAGCCTCTGCAGCTTCGTAGTACTGGTCTTCAACAGCGGGACTGTAGATGAGATCGTTGCCTGCATCCTGTGCATAGTCATCTTCGGCGTCCGTTAATTCGTCGTCGTCCTTGTCGTCGCACCCACCAATTTGTCGCCAATAAAAATTGAGCCAATCGACCACATCTGATGACATTGTACTCTACGTTGAAGAAAACCGCGGCTAACTAGGTAAACCTCATACGGGTTCGCCAACTTCAGAGTACATATAATAACGAGCCTACCAACAAGGGTATAGCTACTAACGAAAAGTGGTTGGTCAACTTCAAATCATTATATGTACGAGGTCGCGCCGTAGTGGTATCGTTGATTAAGCAAACGAAAACTGCGTAATGGATGGACCAGTATAGACATAAAATATCGCAACACCGTAGAGTGTCTGTGACAATTACTGGTGTCGACGAGTATTATGATTCTAACTAGACGAATCTTTCCGTTTACAGCAGTTGGCAGATAATTAGGCAAAACTACAAAAGATTGTTACCGTAGACTGTGACAGAACGGTGCTGTCTTGATATCGCTCTCTGCTAGAGAAGCGTATCATATAGGACATGCGGAACCTCCTAATCTATCGTGTTGCATAAATGCTTCTACAGCTGCTTGTCTCGATTTCGGGACGAGTTGCAGAACCTATGTTGTAACCTACAATTGACAAATTGGACGGTCGGGCTGACCTAAAAAAAAGTATGATGCTCACGCTAATCGTCTACGGAAAACCGGATCGAGGACCACGAAGGTGTGCGGACTTTCTACGAGAGCAGCTGAGGGAGCTGATACGTGCTAGGGGTGGGGCGTTGAGGACTTAGCGCATAAAAATGGATGAAGCGGGTGCATGAGCACTTGGAGGACCACGCATTGGCCATCGTGAAAAAAGTGAACAAGAAAAAAAAGAATCTGAATGAGGGCGACAACTGGCTTTGAAGCCCCACCTTGAGTTGAATCCATTAATCAGGTCCCCCGGTTTTCAGATCTGGACCTCCTGGCCACCCGCTAATTCCAGGGTCGACGGTTGGCTCCTGATTAACAGGGGATGCGGTTGTCTGGTATTGGTTCCTGCGTCGGAGGAGGAACACGTTCGCCGATTGGTCGACCCATTTTAGGGTGTCAGAATACACCGCGTTGTTCATACGAAATTTGAAAAAGTGACAAATGTTTGATCGCGAAGCACTCTGTAGAGAGTTCGCGTGCGACAGGCTCTGCGACGACTTGAAGACCGTCCCGTCGCAACCGGTCGTGCGACAAGAGGGTGTCGTCGGCCGTATGGGGGGTTACCTCGCTTCTCGCGAGCTTTTCGCCTACAACTGCCCTCGCCAAAGTTGGTGTTGCATCTTCGAGTTCGGCCTCTGCCCGTGCTGGATTTTTGGGTCAGGTGGGCTTAACAATTCGGCCCGGAGAGCCGTGTCGTATTCGGCGGGGCTTTGCGCCCGTTTTCCGCCCGTCTTTTTGCACAGACAGTGCCAGAAAGACAGTGGGGCGTTTTCGGAAAGACAGGGACCCTCGGCGGAAAAAAACTTACATCATCCCGATCGACTCAACGTCAGCAGCAGTTCTCGCCGCTCGTCGGTTTTCGGCGCCATGGATCGGGTTCTGCTGCATCCTGCACCGATGGCAGTTTCGACAGTACCTAGGGCCACGTTAGCCATGTCAGCATCTGGGCTTAGACTGCAAAGCTGCTGTCGTGGTCTAGGGCTTCCCTTACGGCAATTACGCCCGTTGCAGTCACAGAAGCACGCGAGGCGATCCAGAAGCATCGTTACTAGAGCGGCCCTGGACCCTGCCGGTATTGATGCCGTAATTTCCGCAGGATCGATCGCCGCACACAATCTGCTATTCGCGGTTGCGGATGCTGCTGCTGACGTGGCACCAGCTGCTGCTGAGGTGGTGCAGGATCGTGGATGGTTCTCAGGCCTCGCTGATCTCCTCGAAACATTTCTCAAGGTGCGACTTTGCGATCTTCATACGATGTTTCATAGGTGGCGTGCGGAAACGTAATCTACATCATCCTGCTCGCAAGTGCATGAACCTGTATCACGCCTCACACCTTGTAAGGCATTCAGAGAGCGCGGCTTCTCAGTTCTCTTCAAGGTCGCGATGTTCGCGCTGACGAGGTGACTTCTGAGTCGACTCAAAAGGCATTCTGAAAGCACGGCTTCTCAGTCGTCTTCAAGGTCGCGACGTTCCCGCTGACGATCATCTTGCATTCCCCCGCCCCCGCTCCTCCTTACCCACCTTACCCACCTTCCCCACCCTCATCACGCACCCCTGGCGTCTCTGAAAGTCGTGTACGCGTATGGCTTCTCTATCGGCCTTCTCACCGTCATCGTCAATGTCGCGACGTTCCCCCTTCCTTCTCGCCACCCTCCCACCCACCTTCATTCCCTCCCATTACACGGACCCCCGGCAGGTCTTAAAGGAGGGCTTGGTCTCTCTGAAGGTGCCGTACGCGTACGGCTTCTCCATCATCCTGCTGACGATCATCGTGAAGGTGGTGACGTATCCGCTGACGATCATGTTCATCATGCTCCCACCCCTCTTTCCCTTCCCCCTTCCCGCCCTCCCATCTCGCACCCCTCGCAGGTCTTAGAGGAGGGCCTAGTCTCTCTGAAAGTGCCGTACGCGTACGGCTTCTCAATCATTCTTCTCACCATCATCGTGAAGGTGGTGACGTTCCCGCTGACGATCATTTCTATGATGCCCCGCCCCTTCCTCTCCCATCACTCACCCTGGCAGGTGTTAGAGGAGGGCCTAGTCTCTCTGAAAGTGCCGTACGCGTACGGCTTCTCCATCATCCTGCTCACGATCATCGTCAAGGTGGTGACGTTTCCGCTGACGACTATTTCCATCATGCTCCCCCGTTCCCTTTCCCCCCTTTCCTTCCTCTCCCAACACGCAACGCCTGGCAGGTCCTAGAGGAGGGCCTGGTCTCTCTCAAGGTGCCGTACGCGTACGGTTTCTCCATCATTCTTCTCACCATCATCGTGAAGGTGGTGACGTTTCCGCTGACGAAGAAGCAGGTGGAGTCGACTCTCGCGATGCAGAGCCTGGCGCCGCAGCTGAAGGCGATCCAGGCGCAGTACGCGGGCGACCAGGAGCGCATCCAGATGGAAACCGCTAAGGTCTACCAACGCGCGGGAGTGAACCCTCTTGCAGGTGAGGAAAAAAATGACGGATACGGGTTACCAAACTAGAAGCAGGGAGGTTTGAACCGGGCAGGTAGCGAACACACGGGCAGGGCAGGTTGGGGAAGTAGCACCGTGGAAGGTTCTCCCATGAATGATCCTGCTACAAGGAATTCGCAGAGCAGCGAGTGCAGAGCCCCCTGGCGCCGCAGCTCAAGGCCATCCAGGCGCAGTTCGCGGGCGACCAGGAGCGCATTCAGATGGAAACCGCCAAGGTGTACCAACGCGCTGGAGTCAACCCTCTCGCAGGTGAGGAAAAATTGACGGATACGGGTTACCAAACTAGAAGCAGGGAGGTTTGAACCGGGCAGGTAGGGAGCACACGGGGGGGATGGAGAAGTAGCACCGTGGAAGGTTCTCCCATGAATGATCCTGCTAGAAGGAATTCGCAGAGTAGCGAGTGCAGAGCCTGGCGCCGCAGCTGAAGGCGATCCAGGCGCAGTTCGCGGGCGACCAGGAGCGCATTCAGATGGAAACAGCCAAGGTGTACCAACGCGCTGGAGTCAACCCTCTCGCAGGTGAGGCGTTTTGTTGCTTGACCTGACGAGGCCAGGAGGTTATGTGGGCACAGTAAAGGTTCTACAGCCTGGTGCGACCAGGAGCGCATTCAGATGGAGACCGCCAAGGTGTACCAACGCGCGGGAGTCAACCCTCTTGCAGGCAATGCGTTCTTAAACCAGGGGAGGAGATTGAAACTTCAAAAATCTTAACACCCGTGTCACGGCCAGAATAAGTAATCTAACTGATCTTGCGGAAGCTCGTGTCGTTTGTGTCGAGTATGAACTGGTAGAGCCGGATACAGTTTTGAGACGTCTCAAAACAAGTATGAACTGGTAGAGCCGGGATACAGTTTTGAGACGTCTCAAAACGAGTATGAACTGGTAGAGCCGGGATACAACATGGATTGCCCGACCGACACACATCATGAAAGAACAACAGCACGACCCCAAAATCTCGTATCGTCATCTCACATTCCCATTCCCATCCTCATCCCCACCCTCGTCCGCATCGCTATCACAGGCTGCCTCCCCACGCTCGCTACTCTCCCAATCTTCATCGGCCTCTACCAGGCCCTCAGTAACGTTGCTAAGGAGGTAAGAAAAACCTATTTTTGAGGCGAATAAAGAAATGTCTCCTCACGCTCGCAACTCTCTTTTTTTCTTCATCGGCCTCTACCAGGCACTCAGTAACGTTGCTAAGGAGGTAAGTAATATGCTCCTTTTCATCTCCCACATCCCAAACTCCCCCATTTCTCGCCCTCTCTCCCCTCCCCCACAACCCCTCCTCCACATCTGTTTTTTACACAACTCTCGCTCCCCGCTACCTCATTTCCTCCCCTAACGCGTGCTCCCTACCCTGCCCCATCCCATCACCCCATCAACAACAGGGCGTGCTCACGGAGGGATTCTTCTGGATCCCCTCTCTTGCCGGTCCCACGTCCATCGATCCCACCGTCGAAGGCTCTGGCATCTCCTGGCTCTTCCCCTTCGTTGTAAGCACATTCTGCCGCTCTTTGCCTTTTTGTAAGCACATGCTGCCACCCTTCCCCTTTGTTGTAAGCACATTCTGCCGCTCTTTGCCTTAGTTGTAAGCGCATACTGCTTGCTACCCTTCCCCTTCACTGTAAGCACCTGCTGTCACCCTTCCCCTTCATCGTAAGCACATGCTGCCGCTTCAGTGCGTCTCTTCTAAGGTCATTTTTATTGTGTTTGCTTGTCATTCGACAGGATGGCGCCCCTCCGCTGGGCTGGGAGGCCACAGCAGCGTATCTCGTGCTGCCTATGCTGCTGCTGGTCGGTCCTCATCTCTCTGTCCCCCCTGTCCTCCCCTCCCCTCGGCGGTCCTCCCCCCCACCCTCCCCCCGACCCTCCCCCACCCCCATTCCAACCCGCCACACTGCAGGATGGCGCCCCTCCGCTGGGCTGGGAGGCCACAGCAGCGTATCTCGTGCTGCCAGTGCTGCTGGTGGTCGTGCCTCATCTTCTATCCCCACTGTCCTCCCCCCGGCCCTTCCCCCGACCCACCCCCACCCCCAACCCGCCACACTGCAGGATGGCGCCCCTCCGCTGGGCTGGGAGGCCACAGCAGCGTATCTCGTGCTGCCAGTGCTGCTGGTGGTCGTGCCTCATCTTCTGTCCCCACTGTCCTCCCCTCGGCCCTCCCTCCGACCCACCCCCACCCCCAACCCGCCACACTGCAGGACGGCGCCCCTCCGCTGGGTTGGGAGGCCACAGCAGCGTACCTTGCGCTGCCAGTGCTGCTGGTGGTGTCACAGGCGCTCTCCATGCAGATCATGCAGCCGCCGCAGACAGATGTGAGTGCTGTTGGTGGTGCTGCTGCCGCTGCTGCCAGTGCTCCTGAAAGCTTTCAGTGTCACCAGTGCTGCTGGTGGTGTCACAGGCGCTCTCCATGCAGATCATGCAGCCGCCGCAGACAGATGTGAGTGCTGCTGGTGGTGCTGCCAGTGTCACTGCTCCTGCTGGTGCTGCCACTGCTGCCAGTGCTGCTGAAAGCTTGCACTGTCACCAGTGCTGCTGGTGGTGTCACAGGCCCACTCAATGCAGATCATGCAGCCGCCTCTGACAGATGTGAGTGCCGCCGCTGCTGCCAGTACCACCAATACTGTCTGCCAGTGCTGCTCAAAGTTGCCACTGCTGCCAGTACTGCTCAAACTTGCATGTGATCGCACATTGTTCGTCGTCCATCTTTCTACCCCTCCCTTCCCCTCTCCGCCTCCTCCCCTCTCCTCTCCTCCCTTCCCCCCTCCCCCCCCGGCCCCTCACACGCTCACATCCTGTCGCCTGCTGCACTGCATGGCGACCCTAGAGCCTTTGCTCTTTGCCCTCCCCCCCTGCTTCCCACTCTCACGTCCCACCTCCTACTGCCCTCCTGCCTCGCGCCCACCAGGACCCAGCAACGCAGCAGAGCCAGGCGATTCTCAAGTTCCTGCCGCTCATGATCGGCTGGTTCTCCCTCACTGTGCCCTCCGGCCTCTCGCTCTACTGGTGGGTCGGGTTCCCACACTGCACTGCACTGCACCACCCGCACATGTGTCTAGGTTCCCTTACCCATTCTCAAGTTTCTGCCGCTCATGATTAGCTGGTTCTCCCTCACTGTGCCCTCCGGCCTCTCCCTCTACTGGTGAGCTGGGGTGACCTGACCCACGTCCTATTGGGGATACTGCTGGGTGGGTGCTGGTGAATCTCAACCAATGAGAACTAAATTCAGCACCGTGAATTCTATTCCAAACTCTCTGTGTGTACATAACCTCTCTTCCTACCCTCTTTGCCCCCACTGGATTGCTCACACCACCTGTCGGCGCCCTCGGGATTGTGAACAACATGCTGAGGGTGCCCTTCTTTTAGCACAGACAGTGTATCGCCGCAAAATGGGAGGAGCCACGCTTCTGGTGCCGCCCCTGGTGCCTTGCCTCTCACTCGCCTGCCTACCCCTTTCACCCTCCTCTCCCTAACCTCAGGTTTGTGAACAACGTGCTGAGCACAGGACAGACAGTCTACCTGCGGCGCAAGATGGGGGGAGCCACGCCCTTGGTGCAGCTCTTTATTGAAAACCTCTCATTCCTGCCCCATCCCCTCCCCACCCCTGTCATTCACTCTTCAAGGTTTGTGAACAACGTGCTGAGCACAGGACAGACAGTCTACCTGCGCAAGATGGGGGGAGCCACCAATCCAGCAGCAGCAGCAGGAGTGGTGGGGGCCGATGGGGTCATTGACGTGGGGCTTGTAGAACCCTCTGCACCGCCCAGCACCGCTGCGTCTGCTGTGTCTGCTGCTGTGGCGGCACCAGCAGTGACGGCGCCATCTGCTGGGGCTGCTCCCATTGGGCTGAGCAAGGAGGAGGAGGAGAAGGAGAGGGCCCGCGCTGAAAGGTGAGAGAGAGAGCCAGGGGATTGATTCTGAGAAGTCTTATGGGCTACTTGCAATATGAGAAGGCAGAGGGGGGAAAATGGGGGGGAGATGTGGCACGGTTGGAGGCGGTGCTGTGAGTGGAACCAGTAACAATTCGTTTCTTATGCTGCATGTTGCAGGTTCCGGAAACGCAAGGAGGCAGAGGCGGCAAAGCGGGCGGGAAAGGCGGTGGGGGCTGATGAGGGAGCGGCTGCAGCAGTCGACGTGGATGACAAGGACAGGGAACGGGCGGAGAGGTGAGGATTTTTATTATCAGGTATTTATCTGTATCAGGTTACCAGGTTGCTGCTTGCGATTGAAATTCATTGACGCTCTGGCTTATCGGTTTGAAACATTTTTGTCTGGAAAGCTGGTGGAGGAAGGAAGGGGGTGGGGTGGAGGTGGAAGAGAAAGGGGGTGGAAGGGGAATGGCCGCACCAACATAGAGGATGAGATGTCAAGAGGTTTGGCTTGCGATTTATCTGGTGAGGAGAAGACATGGTCAGGGCTCAGGGTATGCAGGAAGAAAGAATCAGGGTGTCTATTTTTATTAGTTCCTCATGTCCCCTCTTCCATTCCCGTCCCCCTTTCCCCCAACTCCTTCCCCTCTTCCTGTTTTCGACCCGTGTCTCTCCTTTTCGCCATCTTGATGGATCTTATTGACAGGTTCCGGAAGCGGAAGGAGGAGGAGAATGCAAGACGTGCAGCCAAGGCGGCAGCCGAGCAAGGCGTGAAACCAGCTGAGGCGCAAGTACCATTTGTTGAAGCTGTTGTCTTGCCGCCAAATGAAAAGAGAGAAGAAACGGAAGCACGCAAGGAAGAGGTGAGCCTATGTTGGGGAATGCTGTTTTGGGACGGAGAACACACCGTACGTGCTTTGTTTTAACGCTTTTTACGCCTGATTGTTACAGGTTGTCATTGTTGAAGTCGTGGAGGAGTCTTCAGCAAAACCTACGTCTCCTGATAGTAGCCCAAGATAATGGAAAGGGAGTTGAAGGAGTCCCTTTCTTTAGACATTGTACTCTAAAGTTGAGAATAAAAGAATTTTGTATGCAACATCCTTAGATGGTATCGGTCTCTGCAATCTTATCGAGTCACACTCCGCGAGGATCTATTATCGTATCGTCAGCACAGCACCCTTGTTTCAGTCACACACCCTTGTGTCGTGCAGCCACGTCAGAACTCCATCACAAAAGTCGCATACTTCGTGCGGCGTTCTCCAATCAGTGGCATCGCGACATTGTCCACATTGTCGCACGTCTCTCGTATTGCCTCCACGATATTCGCACGGATATGGTAGCACTAGCGTCAATAGCGGGAATGGTAGAAGAAGAAAATGCTACGGTGTGGTGCGTTAGTGTGCGGTGGATTTGTTCGCCTTTTCTCCTCTCCTGTTCTCCTGCTGCCAGTTTTCTTGACCTCGGTCGGTCTTTCTTTACCTCAGTTCAGTGAAATGCAACGTAGGCACCACCACAGTCCTCTCACTCACCACTTCTCGCTCTCTACCTCGCATTCACTCTTTCCTACCCTCGCCTTCTTCCCTTTCTTTCCTTCCTCGCACTCATTTCTTCCTGGATAATTCTCTGCTGCGTAGCTTCTCCTGCCGCATCGTCATCCGTGCTTGTCGGTCGAACAATGGAAGCGCGCGACAGCTGCAATTCACGGGGTAGCGCGTAGCCGACTTTGGCGTCGAACGCTCGCCAAGAGCAAGTCGCAACTTGCTGTTGGCCTTATCTCTGTTTTCTCCTAGTAGGACTAACGAAGAGAGATTGTCGCAGACGGATTGTCGCAGAACGTGAATCCAATTCAATGTATCAACTCGCCGCCGTCAATGTCGCCAATGTCGCCAATGTCGTCAACGTCGCCAATGTCGTCAGTCTGCCAGCCGTTCGAATCGCGTTTTACTCGTCGCCATGGGACCCGTCCGCTTCCCCTTCAGTCGTCGACGAGTTTATCCAGTTCCTCTTCGCGGCTCTCCTCCTCGCGCGCGCTTTTTGCGGCGCCGCTGCGATCTGGCTGTTACACGTGGCGAGGCTCTCTTTCCGCCACGTGTCCTTCGACCGCAAACTTTCAGAACCTCGCACGACTGACGGACAAGGCGACTACTTGAGAGCAGAAAATTTCCCGAAGGTGTCGTCTTTGCCCGCTGAACCGCCTCAAGATAAGCCGGTGGACGCGATAAGAACAACTAGCACTGAGGACGTCACCATGATTGCTAGAAATGCGGATGACGTCACTTTCAGTCTGGAAATTCCCGTTGGTAATAAGGAAGATGACGTCAGGCAGTGCTGCAGCAGCGATCGTGGGAAGGCCTCTGACGGGCAGGAGTTTCTCCAGGTGCTTTCAGCGGAGGTGATTCAGGTGGTTTCAGCAGAAGTGGTAAAGATGCGGGAGGAGCTGGTGGAGGTCGTATCTGGCGTGGTAGAGGGGAGGAGTGAGATTGGGGCGAGGAGGGAGAATGCGGGGAATAGGACGACGGGTGAGAGGAGAGAGGAGGAGGAATTGGTAGTGGGAGACGGTAAACAGGAGGAGGCGAGTGGAACGGGAGAGGAGGACGAGGGGGGAAGAGGCGGCGGAATGGAGGAGATTAATAGGACAGCGGAATTGGCGAGGGAGAAGGAGGAAGAGGAGAGAAAGTTGGAGGAAGAGAGGATGAAACATGAGAGGGAGCAAGAGGGGGAGCGGCAAGAGAGGGCGGAAGAAAGGGCGGCGTTGGTGGGTGAGCTGGTTGAGAGACTGTCGGCGTTGCTGACGCAGAGCAAACAGGAAGGTCTGACGCTGCTCCAGGAGCAGGAGAATCAGGCGCAGAAGGGCCAGCAGCCGGAGCAGCAGCTTGAGCAGCAGGAACAGGAGCATCAGCAACGCACAGGAGCACGGCAGCAGAAACAGCAGCGAACGGAAGACGAGGTAAGAGAGGAGGAGGAGAAGCAGGAAGAGGAGCAGGAGGAGCAGCAGCAGCGGCATCAGCAGGAAGAGGAGGCGAAGGAGGAGGAGGAGCAGCAGCAGCAGCAACAGCAGGAGCAACAGAAGGAAGAGGAGGTAAAGGAGGAGAAGCGGAAGCAAGAGCAAGAGGATTTGGTCCAGAGGGTATTGCACGAGTGGGGGAGGGAGAAAGAGGCCTGGCTGCAACGAGTGGAGCAGCTGGTGACTGTAACGAAGGTGACCGAACTGAGAGAACTCGGTCGGGAGTTGGCGCAGCAGGTGTTGGAGGAGAGAGAGAGGGAAAAAGAAAGGGAAGGGGAGAGGAAGAGGGAGAAGGAGCGGGAGAGGGGGAGCGAGAGGGAGAGGGAGAGGGAGAGAGAGGATGAGAGGGAGGAGGAGTATGAGGGGCTGGCAAAGAAACTGGTGGAGCATTTGAGGAGAGACGAGAAGGAGAGGAGGGCGGAGGGGAGGAAAGAGTTGGTAAGTGCTCTTCTGAGTGCGTGGGGGAAGGAGAGGGGGGAGATGGAAGGGGAGTGGAGGAGAGGCAGGGGGGGGAGGGCGGAAGAGGTTAGGCAAGAGGAGGGAGTGGCCGGGAGGAAATCAGGCTCGGGAGAAGGTTCGGGTGGATGGTTAGAAGGTTCGGGTGGGAATGGAAAGGGTGGAAGATTTGGCAATGCCAGTGGTGCTAGTGATGGTGATGCTGGTGTTGGTGTTGGTGCTGCTGATACTGCTGATGGTTTTGGTGATGCTGGCGCCAGTACTGCTGCTGCTGGTGTTGCCTCTGTTGTGAACGATCCAAATGAAAGCCTCCGTGCAGAAACGCAGGAGATCGTTTCTGGAGACCTACGGAGTGATGTTCAGGCAGATTCGGACAAAGAAGCCCAGTGGGCTGAACACCAGACTGCCTCTGAAGGTGCTGAGGCGGATGTGATCGTAGCGAGAGCAAGGGATGCACAGGGAGGTGTGACTATAACGGAGGGAGTTATAGCAGGGGAATGCACGAGTGCACAAGGGGGCGGAGCTGGTACACAGGAGAGTGTGATTATAGAGGAAGGAGATGTATCAGGAGAGGTGGGTGTCACTGCAGAAAGTGTGACTATAGCGGAGGGTTGTGTGGCAGAAACCGCAGAATCTGTTACTGTAACGGATGGTGGTGCTGTAGAAGAGGGTATGAGTGCTCGGCGCGGCCTTGTCCTTCCAACCCTCCACCTGCCACTAGAACGGCGCAGGGTACCTGGGAGGACACCTGGGAGAACACCTGGAAGAACACCTGGGAAGGGATCAGGGAGGCGAGGTCAATGGATGGGTGGACCAGAGCTTGTGTCGCCTGGCGCTGCTGCTTCTGGTGTTGCTGCTGCTGCTGGTGCTGCCAGTGGTGCCGGTGCTGCTGCTGGTGCTGCTGGCGCTGGTGGTGGTTTAAAGGGCGATAGGGGCGTGCGACTGAGGGTGGCTGGACGGCGGTCGTTCAGGCACATGACGGAAGCGTCTCTCTTCAATCTGCTGGCTGGGTTCATGGAAAGACACCAGGGAGTCAGGGGCGGGCAGGGAGAGCGAGTGGAGGGCGAGGAAGAGGAGGAGGAGAAGGAGGACGAGGGGGGAACTGGGGAGGGGAAGGAGAGGGAAGAGGTGATGAAGGGGGAACGGGAGAGGAGGGGCGGTGGAGAGGAGGAGAGGAGAAGGAGAATGGTAAGGCAGATGAGTTCAGTGAGAGAAGAAGGGGAGGAAGAGAAGGGGGACCGAGGGGAAGCGAGGTCGACTGGGGAACGGGGGACGAACGGCGGGAGTACGGAGGGCGAAGGTGAGACGTCGTGCGTTGTTTCCCCTGAGAATACTGAGGGACGAGAGGGAGAAGATGGGGAAACAGAAGTGACGGCCGTGTCGACTTTGGAAGCAGCAGCAGCAGCAGCATGTGGTGGTGGTGCTGAGAGTGTGACAGGTGATGGGGAAGGGGGGTTGGAGAGGAGAGGCAGCAAGGCGGGGGAGAAAGGGGAGGAGGAGGAAGAGGAGGAAGAGGAGGAAGAGGAGGAAGAGGAGGAAGAGGAGGAAGAGGAGGAAGGGGGACAAAGGCGGAAATTGCAGTTTCTTGCATCGACTGAAAATGGGATGCAGGTGCAGGAGGAGCAGGAGGAACAGGAGGAGCAGATGCGTCAGGAGGGGCAGGAGGAGCAGGGGTTGCGTCATGAGGTGAAGGATGAGAGAGAGAAGGGTAAGAGCGGGGAGGGGGAGGAGAAGGAAGAGGAGGTGATTGATCGGGCAAAGTTTCTCAAGATTCTCAAGCAGCATCAGCGGCAGCTGAAGCGGCAGCTGCAGCAGCAGGCCGAGGAGAATCGCAGAGGCCACCGGGGGAGAGGAAGGAGCAACGGGGATTCGGAGGGGGAGGGGGAGGGAGAGGGAGACGAGAGGGACGCGGACGAGGAGGAGGAGGAGGAAGGGGAAGAAAGGGACGAATTCGAGGATGAGGATGATTTGGCTGTGTTGCGCCGGGCGTTAGAGCATGAAATGGAGTTGGTAGATTCGCTGAGACGAGAGCTGGATCAGGAACGGGCGGCGGCTGACAGTGCCGCCCAGGCTAGCATGGAGCTGATTCGCCGGCTGCAAGAGGACAAAGCCGCCGCCCACCTTGCCGCCCGGCAGCGGGAGCGGATTCTGGAGGAGAAGGCGGTTTATGATGAGGAGAGGGTGGAGGTGCTGAGGCAGATCATGCAGCGGCAGCAGGAGGAGGTAGAGTGGTTGGAAGGGGAGTTAGAGCGGTGCAGAAGGCAGTTGGGGGTGTTGTGGGAGGCTGGGATGGCTGTGATGGGGGAGGAGGAGGGAGGAGAGGGAGGGGGGGTGGGATGGGGAGAGGGTGGAGGGATGGGAGGGTTTGAGGGGATGGGAGTGGCGGGAGGAGTGGGTGGGGTTGATGTGGACTGGGCGCAGTTGCTGGGGGAAGAGGGGGTGGCGGATGACATGTTAGCGGGAGGGGAGATAGGTCAAGGGGAGATGGGTGGAGGGGGAATGGGTGGGGGAGATATGGGAGGAGAGGTGATGGGGGAAGGGGAGATAGGGGGAGGACAGACGGGAGTGGGAAGAGGGGGGGGGCAGGAAGACGGAGGGGGGGGCGGAGATTTAGAGACAGGGAAGGGAGGGGAGGGGGGGGGAGGGAGGGGGCCAGGAGGAGGGAGGAGGAGGGGGTGAGACGGTGGAATGTGGTGGGCAGGACGAGATGCTTCAAGATTTCAATAGGGAGGTTGGCTTTTCGCAGGTTGAAAGGGTGGGTGATGGTGAAAATGACAAACAACCTTTTACATTATTAGATAAGGAGAAGGGCGTGAGTGGTATGGACGTGGGGGGATTGGACATGGGGGTTGCAGGGAGTATTGAAGGGGCTGAATATTCAAAGGAGGATGCTGGGATGGGTGAGGAGAGTGAGAGGGGTGGGAGGGGTGAGGGAGGTGAGTTGATGAAAGAAGAAGCGTTTGGGTGTCATGCGGATGGGCTGACTTGCGGTGAGAATGGGGATGAGGCGTGTAGTGAGGATGGAGGGGAGTCGCCCATTGCTGCAGAGTTTGAAAATGGAGGAACGGAGAAGGAAGGAGAGAAGGAGGGGAAGGGAAGGAAGGAGGAGGAGAGGTTGGTTGAGTCGGAAGAGGAGGAGAGGAATGAGGGGACGGATGAGGAAGGTGAGGGGAGTAAGGAGAGAAGGGATGATGGGGCAGGCGAGAGGGAGGAGGGGCACACGGTTGTGAATGGAGGGAAGATGGAGGAGGGGGAGGGGGAGGAGATGAGGGAGGAGAAAGGGGAGACAGGGGAGGGCGAAAAGGAGGAGGCAAAGGAGGAGCGGGAGGGGAGGATGGAGGGGCAGCGTAGGGAAGAGGAGGAAACAGTGGAAGAGTGTGATGATGAGGAGAAGAAAGGGGGTGAGGTGGAGGAGCAGGTGGAGGGGGAGAAAAACGAGGAGAGCGGGGAGAAGGGAGAGAGGGAGGGGGGAGAGAAAGGAGAGGAGAAGGAAAATGAGAAAGGAGAGGAGAAGGGGGAGGGGAAGAAGGATGAGGAAGAGAAGGAGGAGGGTGAGGAGAAAGGAGAGGAGAAAGGGGAGGAGAATAGGGATGAGAAGAGGGAGGAGAAGCGGGATGAGGAAGAGAAGGAGGAGGGTGAGGAGAATGCAGGGCTTCTGGATGAGAAGGTGAATGGGGATGCGGGTGGGAATGCGGAAGAGGAAGGTTTGCACCATCAAGAGAATGATGAGCAGAAGGACTTGGGGGAAGAGAGTGTGCAAAGGATGGGGTCGAGTGGAGGTGAATCGGGAGACCTGGACGAAGTGTGGCGCGAGTTTGAAGCGCAGATAGACCCCTCTGCTGCATCAGAGCACGGAAACGCAGCAGCTGAAGGGGAGGCCTCTTTCATGGGTGTGCCGTCGCCGCTGCCGCCTCTCTCAGTGTTTGTGACGCCAACCAAGGAGCTGCAGCGCCTCAAGAGCTCGTCTAGAGCCAGCTCTGCTAGCGCGGGGGGCTCGCCCTTAGGGTCGCCCCATGCAGCTGTGGCTGCGAGTGGCAGTGGGAGCAGCGGGAGTGCGTTTCGCTTGCCCAGGCAACTGACGCCGAATGACCAGATGAAGCGCGCACGACAGGTGAGAAGGGGGGGATGAGACAGGTGATTCGCTTGAGAGAAATGAGAGAAGGGAGAGGGAAGAATGTGAGAGTTCAAGGAGAGGTGAGAGGTGGTGAGAGGTGGGAGATATGTGAGAGAGTGGGCTCCGCAGCCCCCCCACCCAATGCAGCTGCGGCTGCGAGTGGCAGTGGGAGCGGTGGGAGTGCGTTTCGCTTGCCCAGGCAACTGACGCCAAATGACCAGATGAAGCGCGCACGACAGGTGAGTTTTGAGTCGTCTCAAAACACGGGGGGCTCGCCCTTAGGCTCGCCCCATGCAGCCGTGGCTGCGAGTGGCAGTGGGAGCGGTGGGAGTGCGTTTCGCTTGCCCAGGCAGCTGACGCCGAATGACCAGATGAAGCGCGCTCGACTGAGAAGGGGGGGGTGAGACAGGTGATTCGCTTGAGAGAAATGAGAGAAGGGAGAGGGAAGAATGTGAGAGTTCAAGGAGAGGTGAGAGGTGGTGAGAGGTGGGAGATATGTGAGAGAGTGGGCTCCGCAGCCTCCACCCCCCCCATGCAGCTGCGGCTGCGAGTGGCAGTGGGATCAGTGGGAGTGAGTTTTACTTGCCCAGGCAGCTGAACCTGAATGATCAGATGAAGCGCGCACGACAGGTGAGGGGAGGGGAGGGCATGTGAGAGAGGTGAGAGGGAGGAAGGAGGATAGTCCGTTTGCACATGAGTCGGTTTTTGAGTCGACTCAAACTCAAAAACCGACTCATCACAGGAGGATGATAGTTACATAGTCCGTTTGCACATGACATACAGGTTCACACATACTGCAATACCCACTGCCTCCCCCGCCCCCTCCCCTCATGCTGTACTTATAATCCCTTTGTGTTGGGCTCTGCAGGAAGAGACGAGGAAGCTTCTGGACTGCCTGACTGTGCTGGACGTGGAGAGTGAGATGCGGCTGCGGGAGCTGGAAGGAGGGGTGCTGCCCAAGTGACCTGTCTTGCTAGTCCATGCAACAAACAACTCCCATGGTGAAAATGAAAAACTAGGTATAGGAGCTCGTCTCGACTGTGCTGGACGTGGAGAGTGAGATGAGATGCGGCTGAGGGAGCTGGAAGGGGGGGTGCTGCCCAAGTGACCTGCCTTGCTAGTCCATGCAACAAACAACTCCCATGGTGAAAATGAAAAACTAGGTATAGGAGCTCGTCTCGACTGTGCTGGACGTGGAGAGTGAGATGAGATGCGGCTGAGGGAGCTGGAAGGGGGGGTGCTGCCCAAGTGACCTGCCTTGCTAGTCCATGCAACAAACAACTCCCATGGTGAAAATGAAAAACTAGGTATAGGAGCTCGTCTCGACTGTGCTGGACGTGGAGAGTGAGATGAGATGCGGCTGAGGGAGCTGGAAGGGGGGGTGCTGCCCAAGTGACCTGCCTAGTCAATGCAACAACTGCATGCCTGGGTGAATCTGAAGCACGCCTGTTGGACTGACTGTGCTGGGTGTGGTGGCGAGATGTTGGGAGTGTTGCGTAATCTGGTGAAATGTTCCATGTTCGACTGACCCTTTCTAGTTTCCCTTTAGGATAATGAATCGAGGATTGGTAGTGAGTACATTGCTGCCACGGTCCAGCTCAGCCTATATAAATGATTTCGTTGTTGACTACACATGAAAAAAACAAACGCAAATTCAAGCAAGCAAACTTCCACAGAACTGAAAAGCTTGGTATAGTGTGTAATATTGATTGATGGGCCCTAGCAAACACTGGATGTTGAACATATCTATCCAGGGGTTCGTCCAACTCTCAGGCTTGAATTACTTCTCCAAGAATCACTACAAAAGTCAGGAAAACGCATTCAGGTTGTAACGAACAATTGTTATCACATGCTGTTATACAAAGATAATGGCTATGCCGGCAAACTGTGGCAGGAAAAGCAGCTCTATGGTTGCTACACGCCCTACACATCATCTTCACCAACCCTCTACAATCATTTTGCTCTCCATGAAAGCTTCCCAGGAAAGGCAATGCACCTCTCTTCTACACTCATTTTCCCTCCCCATTGAGTCTCATTGCCTTCCATCATGCTCCACTTGCCTCCAGCGGTTGCCAACCTGCAAATGACATCATGCCGTGGCAGACCATCCCATCCCATGCCACACCATGACATGCCACACCATGACATGCCACACCATGACATGCCACATCATGACATGCCACATCATGACATGCCACATCATGACATGCCACACCATGACATGCCACACCATGACATGCCACACCATGACATGCCACACCATGACATGCCACATCATGACATGCCACATCATGACATGCCACACCATGACATGCCACATCATGACATGCCACACCATGACATGCCACACCATGACACGCCACACCATGACATGCCACATGATGACATGCCACATCATGACATGCCACACCATGACACGCCACACCATGACATGCCACATCATGACATGCCACATCATAAATGCCTAAAGATGGCACACCACACAATGGCACATCACACAATGGCACACCAAAACATGGCACATCACACAATGGCACATCACACAATGGCACATCACACAATGGCACATCACACAATGGCACACCACACAATGGCACATCACACAAAGGCACACTTTAAACAGTTGCATGCCATACTATGGCATGCAACACCATGACATGCCAAACCATGAAATACCACACAATGTCATAACCTCTCATCAGACACCAAATCACACAACGTGCAGCCAGTAACATGCCACGCAATAACATGCCACACAGTATCATACTACACACCAACATACCACACAACGCGCAGACAGTATCATACCATACAGCATCATACAATACAGTATCGTACCATACAGTATTATACCATAAAGTAACGTACTATACAGTATCATAACATAGCATCATATGATACAGTATCATATCATACAGCCACGTAACATACAGTACCATACCTTCCACTATCATACCATATAGTATCACACCATACAGTAACATACCTTACAGTGTCATACCATACAGTATCATACCAAACAGTATCATACCATACAGTATCATACCATACAGTAACATACCCGAGAGTATCATACCATATCATACCATACAACATCATACCATCATAGAGTATCATACCATACAGCATCATACCATACAGTAACATACCCGAGAGTATCATACCATATCATACCATACAACATCATAACATCACAGAGTATCATACCATACAGCATTATACCATACAGTAACATACCCGAGAGTATCATACCATATCATACCATACAGCATCATACCATCATAGAGTATCATACCATACAGCAATATACCATAAACTATTATACCACACAGTATCATACCAGACAGCAACACACCATACAGTATTATACGATACAGTATCATACGATACATGCAGTATTATATCATACAGTAACATACCATACAAATCATACCATGTAGTATCATATCATTCAGTATAAAACCATACAGTATCATACCATACAGTAGCATACCATACAGTAGCATATAGTATAATATCATACCATACAGTAGCATACCATACAGTAGCATATAGTACAATATCATACCATACAGTAGCATACAATATAATATCATACCATACAGTAGCAAGCCCCCACCACAACTTACCAGCCCATCCCCCAGCAGTAGGAACAGCAGACAGCCCACTCCCTTTCGGAAACAGCACCTTCAGTGGCTGTGGCTTATGGGGAGGTATGGCAGTGGAAAAGCATGATCTGGCCCAACTCAAACCCCACCCCTGACGTAGCTAGAGCTGACGCGAACCAGAGCCGCCGGCCGGTCGGCTCTGACGGTGTCCATTAAGCTTTGAACGCCAGATCGGTTACTTGAGCACCGAGTGCCTCCGCCACGCAGATTCCACCCACCACACCTCACCCACAAGACACAACCCCAGGAGATACTGCCTCTAAGGCAGTGAACTCCCCGCTTGCTCCCATGCGCCCCACCCACCCACCCCACACTTCACCCCCATGCCTCCTCACCTGTACTTACCTGAGCCATGCAGAGCGCCATGATGCTGAGGCTGCTGGGAAGGAGGGGGGGTGATTAGCAGAGAGGGCGGGACTCCACTGTGGTCCAGGCAGGGTGCTGCTGGGAGGGAAGGGAGGGGGAAGGGAGAGCGGAGGAGGTGAGTGAGAGGGTGGACTTCACTCTCCCGCCCTTGCTCCAGTGTTCCCACCTTCAGCCTGCAGGGGAGACGAGGGGGAAGAGAGAGAGGAGGGAATCAGATCACCATACCTCACCTGGTACCATACCAAACCTTTTACCAAACCTCGCTCGCTCACACCATGCCTAGCCTAATCTCCTGTCCAGCCCCCCACCCCCCACTGCTGCTGCGCTGCTGCTTCTGTGGCTGCAACTGCTGCTGCCGGTCTGCTACTCTGCTTCCTCTGCTGCACTCTCTTGATGCAAAGTGACGTGGTGGCGGGCAGAAAAGGGGGAGGGGACAGGAGAGAAAGGGCAGGAGGTTAGTGATGTGACGTGAACAGAAACACTAAAGTCAACAGAAAAGCACATAAGCTGACAAAGAAAAGAAGGGCGAAATGCAGAGAGAACTGAAGCAACAAATGAAATCCAAGGAGGGAGGTAACGCACCTTGAGAGGCCAGCCCACCCCAATACTCTCCCTCGTGGCACCAACTGCAAGCTGCTGCAGTGCTGCCGCCCTCCCATCCCCGTGGGTACCTGCATGGCCACAGGGGAGGGGCGTGGGGAAGTGTTGATGTCAACCCCTGCGCCCCTCCCCTCCACCAGCAAGGCACACACGCAGAGATAGTGAGTGTGCAATCATAACACAAGGCTGGCATGGCAGCTCGGGCTACAAACACAGGGAAGTGGAGGGAAGGGGCCACTGGTGGAGGGAAGAATCACAAGCCACAGACCATCAAGGGAACCCGAAAGATAAACCTGAAAGTAGGAGGTAACCTGAGGGGGGTGTAAGGCCTACTAGGAAGGGCTTAGGACGCGTCACCTTTTTTCGATCCCAGCACCGAACCTACGCAGGATCGTTTTTTAGCGGGGATAAAATAGAAAAAACGAAGGGTTTTTCGCCCTAAAAGAGAAACCCTTCGTTTTTTCCCCATTTTATCCCCGCTAAAAAACGATCCTGCGTAGGATCAGTGCTGGGATCGAAAAAAGGTGACGCGTCCTTAACCTGAGGGACTTAGGAGCTAAGGGGGAGGGTCTGTGGCTTGCAAACTGGGCCCCAACCAGTGGCGAGGTGCTTAGGGAGAAAACACAGAAGCACATGCGAAAACGATTCAGGCAGCAACGTGAAGAAAGAGCAGCAAGGGAGGGTGACTCCATGGAAGAGAAGGCACTTAGCTGGCAGCTGAAGATGTTGACTCCTTCCCTCCCCTCCCCTACCGCTTGTGCACTCCCCGCCGCTGCTGCTGCCGCCGCCCCCGCCGCCTCCGCCTCCGCCTCCGCCGCTGCTGCTGCGAGTGACCTGGAAGGAAGCAGAACGGAAGGAAGGACAGGAGGCGAGTGAGTGCAGGCCGCGGGGCAAGCAAGGGCGAAGCACAAGGATAAGCAGCAGGGGAGGCAGCGCCAAAGACCAACAGCAACAAGTGAGTGTGGCAGAAAAGAGCTGGAAAGAGCTGGAAAGAGGCTTACCTTGAAATAGCAAGCACAAGCCCATACTCTCCCTTGAAGCAGTGGGATTGCCATGCTGCAGTGCTGCCTCCCTCCCGACCCCTCCCAACGCTGCCTCCCTCCCTCCCTCCTGCACAACCACTAGGGAGGGGCGTGGGGAAGCGTCGGTGTCGACCCCAGCGCCCCTCCCCTCCACCTGCAACAAGCACGCACACGGCGGTGGTCAGTATGCATGGCATGGGCACAACACAAGCCAGAGACCGGAAACTGCCAAATGTGGAAGTGAAAGGGAGGGCCACTGGTCGAGGCAAGGCCACATGCCACAGACGCCAAGGGAACCTGCACCTGAA